AACATACTATTTCTTTATTTAAGAAAGGGAAAGAGAACGCCAGTAAGCCGGGACTAGTCCCTGTCACCACCTACTTTACAGAGGGTCGCGCGTTACCCCAATTGGCCATAAAATAAAACAAAATGTCCCTAGTGTGGACACCCCTCACTAATACCCAGTGATTAGGAGGAAGACTAACAACAATATACAATAATTTAAACCAGCTAGTGGCAACCATAACTACTAGTGGGCAACCTGTTCTTCACCCTTTCGGGTTTCATTTACCTTCTTAAATTAAATTTCACTGTACATTTTATTAGATAATATCATCCAATTACACTGTACACTAGTAGTATTGCACAAATCAATTTAATTTCAAGTAACAATACTTCAATTTTAGTATTATTAGACCATAGTCATCCTACATGACATATAGACCATCAATCACGTATAATCAATCATCCAATACCCAAGATTATATTTAAAAAAAAAAAACTCATACGATAACAAATAATCATATTTTTCGAAATTACATATACTAGTACACAAAATGGAAAACTCATATATAATATATGATTCCATAATATCATACGACAGCACACTCATCACATATAATTACATAAGCATGTATTTGACACATAATATTTCAAAACGAGATTCTAAAGATGATGGACATTGAAAATTACCTTGATCGTGCGTAAAACTCAAGGTAATTAACCTCCGGAACGGTCACCTAGTAGCCTCCGTCTACAAATAAACGATTCTAAGTTAGATAATTATACGACTATATATATATATATAAAATTGAGCGTGTGATTAATTTATCATAACCAGTAATCTAGTCACCCCAAAAACAAAATATAAACAACTAATTAAATGGTGCCCTCATCATCATCACCAACATCCATCATCATCATCACCGACATTCGTCCATCATCATCACCGACATCCTAAAATTCCACTAAAACCCAAATCCCAAATTCCACTGAAAGCATACAAATTCGGTTTTTTTTTGAAATCAATAAGCACAAAAATCCAATAGACCAAATACATATTGAAACCGAAACAATGGAGTGATGAGTTGCGGTGACTTCCGAACTCGTCATTGAAAAATATTTATTATTAATTTTTTTTAAGAAGAGATAGTTTACTTGAGAAAAGATTGAAAGTACGGTATTGAAATTTGAAGTTAAGGGGGCTTTATATAATTTGAGTTGTTTAGCACTCTAGAAATTTCACAAGATAAGGGTCAAACTTATCTTGAGTTTGTTACATAAACTCAGTAAACAGATTTTCAAAATTCCTTTTTATCAGCTTTCAAACCAATCTCTGTATGTTATCCAAAATCAGTTTTTTTTTTATCAAATCCGAAAATAATAATAATAATAATAATAATAATAATAATAATAATAATTTTTAAAATTTGAAAATAATAATAATTAGTTTTAAAGTTTATTTATTTATTTTTGAAAAGAAATCGTTGATTAAAAATACTCCAAATTTTGGGGTATTACATCTACTCCCCCTAAAACGAAAGTTCGTCCTCGAACTTTTAAGTTAGGCAGCTCTCAGAATAAAGCACACACGATGACAAAAGATAAGTTAGTATTACAAAGATAGCCTAGGAGGCTTTGCACCTGGGGAAGGAGTACGGTATCCGGGCTTTGGCCTATCAGTACACTAATGAAGTTACACCGCCAAGGATGAGGGCAAGCTATATTCTGGATCATTAGATGTCTGGGCCAACCGAGAGATAAAGGAGGAGCCAATTCAAGCTGTACTCGGAGGAGAAAAATAGCAAGGACCAGAAGAAGCTCAGGTGAACTCTACTTTACCGCCACCTGAGCAGACAGGAGAGAGGGACCAAGCTGCGCCGCAAGTTTAAGTTCATTTTCTTTTATTCGGATTTAACCGGCTGTCTGCATTTCTGGCCTGTGTGCCGATTATTTGAATGTAATGAATCAACAATTTTAAGTTCTCTGTCTTTACCCGGATGGTTATCCGGTCAACATCCTCCTGCTCTTGTGACCGGGTTTTATTTATGAAAGTACTGATTGAGTCGATTTTGATTTTGATTTGCTTTAATTTTTGCATTGATTTCTGAATTTTGCATATATATACTTGAATTTTTCCTAACTTTTTAAGAGCATGTGGCAGATGATAACCCGGATGTACTTGCCCCTAGGCATTTGTGTGATTGGTTAGTTTGCTGATTGATTGACTTGGGAGATTTTGAAACCTTAAAAAGTATGTGATGTTCCTAAGTCAACCCATCACAGTAGTGATTTCCCCAAACCAAGTACACAGCCGTCTAAGCATACAAAACGATAACCGTTAGCCTAGGCGGTGAAAAAGTTGTGGTGATCTCCTCCGCATGCAGTTCTTGCAATCCAATTATGCTCAATGTCCCTTTGCCCCATTGGGGGGGGGGGGAATTACGTAATTTCAAAAAGTAATCTAAGTTAGAACTTTGGCCGGTCACCGACTGAACTCTTTAGACATCCGGCCCCGTAGACTTGGTCGTTCTTTAGATTACCCGGGTCAGAGAACTATGATTTGACCAATTAGGTCATTCAATCTTTGCCGCATGTATGCGTTGGTAGAGCGCTTGTCGGGAATTATTCAAGCATCCTACACTTGAGCCCCAATGTGGTCATACACTTAAGTATGGTGGCGTCCATAGGGAAGGAAACTAGAGCAAAAGAGTCGGCAACAAGTTTTAGGAATTTGTAAACCACTCACAGGGTGAAGGTTACACCCCTTCACGATCCATGAGATCACTAACTCTATAGTGGTCCGAAACCATGACTGGATATTTGGGGATGAAGGTACAAATCCAACCTAAAAGAGATTGAACCTTCCCTAAATAAGCCTTTGCTTTATTCTTCTCATATTCATGTTCTCTTTCTAACTAACATACAATCATTATATTAATCCTAAACCTGTTTAATCTATGTTGGTTGAATATCAATACACAAACAAATCAATTATAGGCGATCACTTGAATTAAAGTCATATTAGCCTAATTAAAATTATTAATTATCTTATTAAGCGTGATTTCAAGTACAAATTCCCTTTAATCCTACAAGAGAGGGCGTGATCAAGCAATAATAATAATATCAAGCTACATAATAATAATTAATACAACAAATCATTATAATACTCTAAATAAAGTATAATACTAGTAAGATCCTAGGCATGATAATAACATGATTGATAAAAAATCCTAGCATGTCACTAATAAGCATTAAAGATCAAAGGTTTAGCCATAACATGATACTAGAAAGATACATGATATTAGAAATATTAGTTAATTCCCTAAACATGATACTAGAAAGCAATAAAAGTATCCTAATAATGATACTAGAAATTAATAAAATAATTAAAATATGATGTCTACATCAAAAGAATAATTAAGTAATTAAATTACTTAATTTGATGTCTCGTATCTCTTTCGGTCAAAACAATACACACGTTATAACTTCAAGGAAAATATTAAATCAAACAATTAATTTAAATAATTGAAATAGGGATTTGGGACCAAACCCTCATAAATTATCAACCTTTCACGTCTAGGGAAAAGACAACTTTGAACTTGCACTAAGCGAAAATATGTAATGGCCACCGGTTGAAACCCCCCATTGCCACCGGTTTTGAACCGGTGGTCATTTGGGGGGTGGCAATAAACAAACGCAAGGCCACCGATTCAAAACCGGTGGCAAAAGTCCTTATGGCCACCGGTTAACCGGTGGTAATAATAATTATGGCCACCGGTTAACCAGTGGCAATGTAAATGGCGCGCTTTTTTTGGATTGGAACACTGACTTTTGCCACCGGTTTGAACCGGTAAACCGGTGGCAATAATAGGGATGTAATTTTTTTTTTCTTATTTTTTTTTTCGTTTTTCCTGCAATTATTCCTGCAACTGATCCCGCTATAATATTCTTCCATATTATTTCTATAAATTCTGCCATAATATAATTATTATTAATAATCATAACAAGAATTAAAAATATATATTTAGACATTAATAATTAAAAACCAAATGCAATACAACAAATAAAGTGTGATATACATAAATACAAACAATACTAACTAGTCAATATTGTAGTATAAAATTTAATAATTAACAAAGTATAAATTCAAAATGATGTCACATTTACAAATTGAAGGTGATGAAAGATGCTAACATGTCTCGAACTTCATTAAGGTCCTTGCTTGTTAACGGATCTCCCTTCCGCACCTTGCAAAACTTAGAATATATATAAATTATGTTAGAATAAATTAAATTAGTTAAGTTAAACATGTGAGTAATAAATATGTAAAAAATTAAATACTTAGGTCAAAATGGTCTAAAAGAAGGCCTAAAAGACTTCTACTTGCCCGTTCTCTACATTTTTTAACTAATGACCATGTTGTTTCTCATAATATGTCAATTATACTTAGTTATAGGTGGCTAAGCCTTGAAATCAAAGAAAAAGAGCATTTTACTAAGTTTAAGGTCGCATTTTCATCCAAAATAGCCTAAATAAGGCCTAAATGACTTCTACTTGCCCGTTTTCTATATTTTTTAACTAATGACCATGTTGTTTCTCATAATATGTCAATTATACTTAGTTATAGGTGTCTAAACCTTGAAATTGAAGAAAAAGAGCATTTTACTAAGTTTAAGGTCGCATTTTCATCCTAAATAGCCTACATAAGGCCTAAATGACTTCTACTTACCCATTTTCTATATTTTTTAACTAATGACCATGTTCTTTCTCATAACATGTCAATTATGCTTATTTATAGGTGGCTAAGCCTTGAAATCACAGAAAAAGAGCATTTTACTAAGTTTAAGGTCGCATTTTCATCCTAAATAGCCTAAATAAGCCTAAATGACTTCTACTTGCCCATTTTCTACATTTTTTTAACTAATGACCATGTTGTTTCTCATAACATTTCAATTATACTTAGTTATAGGTGGCTAAGCCTTGAAATCACGTAAAAAGAGAATTTTACTAAGTTTTAAGGTCGTACCTCATCAAGATGTATGGTGTTGGTACAATGAGTCGCTATGTCAAGCATGAATCTCATCACGTATAATCCACAATCAACTCCATTATCTTGTTGTGGGCACTAGCATAGGAACAAATCAAATGAATCAAACGTCACATAAAGTCCACAATTGTTTTAGCAATGTTTATTAAGGTAATCACAATATGATGTGGCATTACCATAGGTGATTTCCATGTAGGACCCCGTGGAGCACGACCATGTATCTTCTTCATAATACTATAAGAAAGTAAATTCAAATTTGATTAGTTTGACTACTAAATGAGTTAGGTTAAGATAATCAAAACTAGGTAACTATATTGACTTTTGTAGTACAGACATCACGAGGTACTTCTTTGTTGATCGAGCTGAATTAAGGTGAAAGATTGTGTTATTAGCAGGAAAAATCACCATGAGGAACCAATGAAACCTACATAAATTCACAATACACAAACAAATCAATAATTAGGGTACAACATATAATTCAAATGTAGAAATAATTGAATTACACATGGTTAAACGTACTCCTCATAACATGGGGCGAATATGAACTTGTCTCCCGCACGCATTGATTCCCTAATACTATGATTAACATAATACATCACCTTGGGGGAGTTGTGTAAGATTCTAGTCTCGGATGTCTGTTCGGGGGATAACCACCCAACTTTACTAGGGGAATCAGTGTCACTTAAGTGCTCTCGTAGTGCTCTGCGTGCATGGACAATGAAAAATTAATTGACATATATATGAAGGATAAACAACACTAATATGAATAACATAATTAATTTAATTGGCATGTGCCCGTACCTCATGAATATTTGAATGAGAGAAATGTTAAGCATTGAACCTCTTAAAAATTCCTTCACATCTTGTTTGTTTAACCATGCACTTGCATCCTCATCATAATGGAACATTGCCTTAGGAAGTGCAATTTCAATGGGATCGTCACTAGGCAAATGACTAAAACGATTGTGTAGAAAAGTTAAATCCTTAGTGAGCGATTGAAGGACATTGTCTCCAACAAGTGGAGTAGGTTGCATGGCTGAACCTTTCGAAGAATTCTTTTCCGACACTTGTTCACTCTTCGACCCTTGTTCACTCATCTTCTTTGTAGGTTCATCAACGCTTTTAGGATTCTCCACCTTCCTTCTCTTTGATGGTTGCCTTTTTTTCGAAATCAGATCAAACAAAGATAACCGGTGGCATTTTCAATTTTTCTACTAGTGTTAGCTAGGTGAGTCTAGAACTTATGGATGCGGTATTGTGTTTGTAAAAAGGCTAGGCTAGAAAGCATGAGGGAAAGAACAAGTTATTGCTTAAGAAAGAGAATAGAATAGAATTAGATGATTGTTGATGATGAAAACGGGGAATAAGGACCTTATACATATAGAAAAAAGTCCCAAAACGAACTGAAAAAGATCGAATTTGATTCGGAGTAAAATTGCTTCCATCGCGACGCGATGGGTCCTGTCGTTTCGCGATGGAGAACGCGTTATCTAAAATCCGTATGTATAGACACCTAAAAATGTATCCCCAAAACCAAACCCGATGATGAACAACCTTTCACCGCCATTATTGGTCGGGTTGAGTATTTAATCTTGGAGTGCTTAAATCCATATTTCCATTTCATAAACCAACCCAATTACTAGCCCATTTCCCCAAACCATAACTTATTTTCCTCTTTTCGTGCCTTTAAACCCAAAATAATTCATTTTGTGTCCTTTAAAATCATTCATTTTGTGTCCATAATCTGGGTCCAATGATTAAATAGTTGTATGGGGATTGAAAAGAGCTTTCCAAATATATATTATAAGCCCAAATCCGAGTTATAACGAATACGTTGTGACCAAAATATTAAACTGAGCCTAAACCGAACCTAAACCCGCCTTACCTACGACCCAACGATCATATGGAGGGTCCAAATGATTTAATACAATTCCTTAACCAATTAGGATTAATTGAATCTTCTACAAGTTTCTAAAAGATCTTAATTATCCTTTTTGAAAAGGTAAGAATAAAGAGTTTGAAATTGAATAAAACTCTTTTTTTTAAAGTCCTAATTTTATTCGAATTAAAAGACGTTCAAAGATAGACAGATATTATTTTCGTGCCTCATAGTTTTTATCCAAATTTTATATGGTTGGATATCCCATGAAATTATCTTTCCAATGATATATTATAATATCCACTCCGAGCTATAACGGAAAAGATATGAATAAAATGTCAAACTCTATTCAAAACTGACACCGTCTCACGATTTCGGCCATATCTTTACTTCTACAAAGTATTTTATCTGATTCTAATTGGGTTAGAAAGTAGACGTCAAGAGATTTCCAACGATATCTTATTCATCTTATTCCGATTTCCTAATCAAAAGATATGATAAAAACAAAAACCGCAAAAACTGCAGTCTATCGAATTTATTCTGATTTAATTCGGATCTTATCTTAATTCTTCGACCCCTCTTTTTTCTCTATAAATAGAGGTAATATCATCCTTTTTTCAATCATCAACAAGCTTGATCATAAAATAATTCTCTTCTCCCTCTTTAGCCTAAATACTAGCCATCCTATTATCTCAAAATACTTCCCTTAAGCACTCCAAAGAGTTCATACTTAACCAGAGGTTCCGCCCTTAAACCAAGACGTGTAAGGTATAATTAAATGAGGATTTGGACCAAATCAAATCTAATTTTTATTTAATTTAATTTAATTATTTCAATTTGATTTTATATTTTAATTGAAGTTACTAACAATTTATTCATGATGTAGCAATTTAAAGGAACGCGCGGAATGTGAATAATTAATTATTTTAATTACTCTTATTTTATTTTTATATTGCTAGCATCATGATTAGGTTATTTTATATTTGATTTGACTAACGTTATTATTGTTAAATTGCTTCCAATATTAATGTTTATTCTATTGTTATTATGATCACCATATTGCATATTAAAGGGAATATGTAATTGAAAATCACGACTAATAAGATAATTTGGACAACCGATTTAGGTTCTTTTTTAATCTTGTTATTTAATCAAGTGATCACTAATATTATGGAATAATGTGTTTCATTAATATTAAACCAATTTAGCATAATAATAGTTTGGAGCAAATTGAATATTTTGTTTGTATGCCTTTGAGATCGCAGGAATCAATTTTCACTATAAGAATCGAGTAGAGGCCAATACGGGCGAATGTGACTCCATGACTCACTTCGTACCATCATCCTCGATCCTCCTTTTGTGGTTCCGAACCATATGGAGTTAGTAATCTCATGGATTATGAATGGGGTGTAACCTTCACGGGTCAATCGTTGTTGCCTTCGTTGTCCCTTATTTGTGGTTGCCTTAAATGATCCGTGAACGGTTTACAAGTTCCTTAAAAACTTGTTGGAGGCTCCCTACTTTCCTTGTCCCTAATCGTATATGTCAATTCCTACTTCCTAAGAGTGCCAAGCATATTCACAACATGCTTCACATAGGCGCACTTCGAACGACACCTACAATTTGGCGACTCCACTGGGGAGGATTCTTTGTTATTTATCCATTTGAGTGATCGGTATTTAATTGAGATGAGTGGATGAGACTTGAAAGATTCTTGAAATATATTCCTGCGAATTAATTGGCATTGTAACATATGCATTTTAGCTTACCTATTTTGCCACAATAGTACCTGTTCTACGTATGTGGCTAGCCTGTGGGATTTATGCTCTATCAACCCGAAAACGCTCACGGCAATAAGGGTTCATCCGAGTTTTTAAATCCACCCAAACCATGGAGTCGAGTTCGATGTCATCACGAACTTGCGAAGCCGCCCGTTGGAATACTTCCTCAAGGGAGGCTGCCTTGCTAACGCGTCCAAACTATTAACCATGGTACCCTTTGACACCCAAAAGCTTGACCATAGTCGAACATAAAACTTGACTTTAGGTTGCGAACTTCATTGCATCATGCGTGACGATATGCTTATATGTGCATTTTTTTATTGAATTTTTTTAATTATTTTTTTCTCTTATCAAACCTTTTTTTTGTAGAGTCGAGTCATTGATTTATTTTATTTTTATTTTATTTTTGAGTCACCCGGATTTTTATTCTCGTATCCTGCACAAGAGTCAACTTGTTTTGGTCATAACCGGAGTTCTAGAAAGAGTAACGTCTCGTGCCACATATGGATCTATATCCCCGAGTTTTATCTTTGATTTAGAGTTGGTTTCGTCCCAATCCATGTCACAGATCAAAATTTATAACTGATATACTACAGCCTGTCCAGTTTAGGTGTCTTTTTAGCGTCAACTTTCTTTTATTTTATTTATTTATTTATTTTTAATTTTTTATATCTTTTCATGTCAAGCTAGTATTAGCCAAATCTTTTAGTCCGTGTTTAATCATATAACATAGGATTATAGATTTTTTATTTTTATTTTATTTTTTTTATACCCATGAGTCTTAACTCTTCTAGAATTCTATTCCTCTTCCTAGTTTCTTGTGATCGATTTTTGTGCTAACCTTAACATGTGTTCTTTGTCTTTGATTATGGTTGATCTTATTTGTGACTAATGATTGCCAATGGACCGTTTTCACCTATTAAATAGCATAAACATTAAAATTGGACAAAATTAATCATGTTAGTTTGTCTTTTAGTCTTCCGTGCTATTTGGTCATTGGGTCCTTTATTTTTCACAACGTCCTCATGTCTAGCCATGCGATCATACCAAGAGTCTTAATAAACTCACCTAATCACACATGTTGAGTCATTTCACGCACTTTGTCTTCGAGTAATGCACTATATTGTTTATGATCGTATATTAGGACCATGCATGCGACGTTTTCCGTCGTAATAGGAATGAGTGGAGTTTTTCTCATCAGATTTCAAAATTGTTTCTTACACTCTTCCTTTCCAATCTGAGTATTGAGTGAATGCATTAAGTGAGTTCATCCTCACACATTACTTGAGTTTAAAATCACTAGAAAATAGTTGGAAGAATAATGGGAACGTCACTCCTTCCTTCTTTCCTTCCAATCAAAGCATCAACAATAAGAAACTATTTTTCTCAGCAGGCAGCTAGAAGTAACTCATAAACATCCATGAAGACAAAGCACGATGCAAGCTTCTTACCAAGATTTCATGATTTCTTCTTTTATTTCAAACCCTTCTCCCTAAAAAGTCTAGCATAGGTTCTCCTTATTCATGTGTCTATGTGTCACATTTCTTACCTTATTCATAAATAAGCATCTCTTTCTTACATTCGATCATGTGATTATCAAAAAATCAATTGCCGAACTAAACACAAGGTACACCAATGACTTGAGGCACCTTTGCAACCCATTCATTCCCCATTAACCATTCAATCACATATCCATTT